CCTCATTCCAGCCAAATTACCTACAAGCAACTGTTTGTGGACAACAACATTTGTCCAGATTTCTAGTCTGTGGAGTCTTTTGAGGGCCCCTACCACTCCCAGCATCTGTTGGTCTGTTGAGAAGAGGTGTCATGAAGCTTTCATGACTAAATGGAAACCTAGTCAGAATCTAGTCAGACGACTTCTCAATGCAATCTTCCCGTGGCTTCAGAATGAAACCAAGCAAACATGGAAAACTTCATAGACGGCATTTATTAATAATTTATGGCTTACCTATTCATATGCCTGCTGCCTTGGGAAGGTTCAAAACAAAGCCCTGTGCTCTAGGTTTTATTTCCTAAACAATGCTATCTCCTGCTGTGGCTGTGTGTGTTTCAACTCCATGTCTTTATAGCAAGTGGTACACGGAAAAAAAAAAAAAGGAAAATGGGAGAAGAAATAATTTCAGTTACTCCAAGTTTGATTAAAAAATTCTTTTCTATAAAGAAAGAATGACCTTGTGTGCTTAGAAAACTGGACTCAGAGGTATAGGTTGAACTCTGCCACCTCTCTTCTGTTCAACTTCAGATGTATAACACATCGTTTTACCACAAGCATTTTCTAGGTATAAAGTGCTGTGAGGGACAGAGGGGAGATTTCCAAGCCTTTGCTTGTCCTTTTGCACAGACTGGATTTCCCACCACCCCAAACTGCTTGAGGGCTGTGCCCATGAAAACCCATGCAAGGGGGAATGGGTAATGAAGAAAATGTACTGGTGGTAGCATTTTCTACCCCACAGAAGGGTGAGGGACCATATTTGGGTGCTCAGCTTTCACCACTACAAGTCATGAGTGAACACATATTGGGCACCTCCCTCCACCAGCCATACTGAGTGGGTGTGAAAGGCCTGGACAACACTACCCATCATACAGCCACCACTCCCTGGGTTAATGTGTCCAGGCAGGATGAAGACAACTGTCCTGGCGTGATGTCTCACTGGGATGAGGGTCTCTGCAGCTCACAACTGTGAGTTCCAAGAGGCCCAAGCACAACCCTGGTGTTGTAAGCACTCCATATCCCCAGCAAGCTGTCTGGGTAGAGTCGAGAGAAGGACAGGAAAAGGTTTTTGTGTGGTGAGGCAGAAAGCTACAATTAAAACTGAAGATGGAGTAGTCTTTCCTGGAAGTTTTGGATGGTGACACTGCCAGAAATTTTGAAGGGAATGTAGTGTGAGGCACAGTGTTTGAGGAAACCCAAAAAATGAGGATGGGTGATGAGCTCAGGTATCTAAAAGTTTAGATTACTTATTCATTCCTAACTATTTTAATATAGCCAGACTCTGGTAAGGAAGGTAAAGATTAATCAAACAACAGAATTTTGACTTAGAAGAAAATAATATGGTTCAAACATGCTGTAGGCATGAATGCTTGACAATATTGAGGATGCCAGAGTAGTGTTAGTGCAGCACAATGCAATATGTTGGCATGTGGTAATTTTAAGAGCCAGAAGTATCTCCTCTTAAACAATCTGAAATGCAAATATGAAGCCAATTTTCCCTCCTTGCTCTGTGTTTTCCTGACAGCCACTGCCAGCATCCAACCAGTAACTTGTCACCTCAAAAACACGTTGATGCATTTGCTGAGGTGCTAATCCTGACCATCATGTGTATGCACGTGCCTTCCTTATGCAGTCTTCAGGACAAACTCTGGTTTCTTAGACTAAATCAGTCTGCCAACAGCCAGGAGAATGAGAAGGCAAACTCTTCCTAAGGATAAGATTCCTGGCATCATGCAGAAGGGCTCTTTTAGTAAGCAATGCAATGGCAAAAAACCAACCCGGTTGGCTTGAGTGAAACCAAACACAGGTGATTTAAGCTAGAACCTTTCCTAATCCAGCTCAGCTGCATAGCAAGGACAAAACCCTGATTTTCATCACATAACTAAGCTGTCTCATTTAAAGTTCAGGCTACAGAGCTCAGAGTACTTTCAGGATCTTCTCCAGCACTGAGCAGGATCTACAGACTGTTTCCTACACTCTTTTCCAAAGAAACGAAAATAAAAATCTGTTTTGCATGGAAATGGAATGCAATTCACACATTATTAGGATTTAGCAGTTCTTGCTCTTTTAAAAATTGCTGTGAAAAGAACAGCTTTTGAACTGACATTTGAAGAAATAAAAGGGACATTTTTTTCCTTCTTTCTGTTTTTAGCTACTGATCAAAGTATATTAAACCTGCTCTTACCTACTCTTCTGGAATCTCCTTGCTCCTCCCTACACACTCCATTCTCTCTTGTTTTACTAGTGTGTTTAAAATTTGGAAATATTACCCTGGTCTCCTGCACTAAAAGTAAGAAAAAAACCTGCTTGTAATTTAAGAAAATTTCTTAAGTTTTGAATTCAAATCCCTTATCAACTAGCAAGACATTCTGGAAACTAAATCTTAACCAACATGGATGAGAAATATGTTTAAAAATTGACTGCCTAGATACTTTGTTTTGTTTCATTTAATATGTTTTCACTAACTAAACATCTTATAGGGGCTGTCTGCTGCAGACTCCATCATGGTGTAGTAAGTCACTTCATAGAGGTCATTTCACTTGGGTGTGCTCTGTGAAATGCCTTGGTAAAGGATTTCAACCTCATTGCATCACAGGCTTCAAGCTATATGAGAGAAAGTTATATGTAGAGAAATGTGGAACTACATGTAGAGAAACTAGTGGCTTTTACTGTTGCATTACTTTCAGCCTTTTCTCACTGCACGTCAAGAGCAAGAAACTGCTGCAGTTGCAGATGCAACCTCTATCATTCCTGTACAGTCACAAAGAGTCAATAGAGCTGATCCATGTTTCCTTGGCAAATTAAACTGGAGGGTTGCACAGTCCTGCAGAATGTTCATTGGGACCAGGAAGACTGCAGCACCCACTAGGGATGCACCCTGCTTATTTTCTGCTGGCAACAAGCATTGCAGTTAAATTGGAGAGAGGATAAAAAAGGCAGGGTGGTGGGACGGGGAGGATACAGAATACAGTGTTCAGCTCTGTACCATAATTGAGATACATCCATTTTTATATATGACTGTCTGGAATGCACTTAAATATATGATTAAATGTCTTCCTGAGTGGATGTCATATGGAAGGAAAAGAGGGGATGGCCTGAAGTGATGCATATTGCACACAACTTTGGCAACATGTAATGTGACTACAGGCTGTAGCATGAATAGGCTGCCCATTCCAGCTCCAGTAAGCACTGGGGCATAACCCTTGTCTTTGCTGGATATAGCCTGTAGCAGAATTCTTCCCCTGGGCAAGGCTTAACAGCAAAACATGAGAAGGCTATTGAAGGGATTTAATTGCATAGCTATCAAGCCTTAGTAGCAGTTGCCTATATATGTTCTCAGAGCACATGTGAGAGTAGAGATGTCTGGATTCTGTATGACGGAATATTTCAAAACCAGCTGTAGTAATACAATTAGCAATGCATGGACCTTTACATGGTAATGGAAAATAAAAAGGAGAGGTTTTGAAGAACAGCAACAAGAGAAAGATCAAACAGGCTAGAAAGCAGTTGCTACTCAATAAATTACTTAAAGCTGGAAGACTGAAAGAGTATCCCAGTACACAGCCACAATTGTTGCATTTTCCTTAGCTGTGATCCCCCCATCACTAACTTACTCATACTGGGATATAGCAATAAAACTTTGCCTTTTGTAATTCCAGTGACTACTGGAATTACATAATGTTCTGTGAGTTTTCAGACGATACAGGACTTCTTTCACAGAGGTAAAGCTAAGCAAGAAGTGACTTTGACGTGCTGTCACAAGACAAGGAGACTGTGCACCAGCAAGAAAATGGGACCAGGAAGTAAAAACACCTGACAAAGCAGCTGCCTTGAAAAACAGCCTGCAGCAAGTAGCATGCCCTGAAACTGGAACTGGTATGGAGCTGGAAGATGTCTGACCAAGGAGACTGGGATGTGGAAAAAAATAATGCCAGGCTTGGTGGCCTTTGAAAGGGCAGGCACATGGGAAACAGATTGCTTTCCTTCAAGGTAATGGAGTTTCCCCATCTTAGCAGCAAGAGGTTTTCACCTCAAAATGATATGCTGCAAAATGCACTTCTGCATGGCAGGAGACATGCAGAAGTGCATTTTGCAGCATATGATGCTCATGGCAGGACGGCCCCACGATGTCATGGTCAGCCCCCACCCACCACCTGGTGTGGTAGCTGCCCTGGCTGACAGACACCCCCTACTGGGGCAGCCCCACGCTCGCCCTTGCAGTGGCACCCCCTGGGACAGGACTGTGAGGGAGGGGGGTGGCTTTGTTGCTGTCTTTGAGAAAAGGAAGCAGACAATGATACAAGTGAAAAAAAAGAAAAAGTGTGAGGAGTTTACATGCAAAACCAAAGCCAAATTTGAAATCACAGGTATCCTTGTGATAATGGCTCAGGTGTCCCCTCACTTCCTCACCTGCCTCCTTCTCTTGTATTTATAACACAGGATTCCTCAGTGAAACTGTTTGTACACACAGCTTTATCATTTTCAATCTCTGATGTCAATACATGCAATGCATGCAGGATGTGTGCATGTGCCTCGCCATGCAGATACTCTTCGTCGCTTCTGTTAAGGACTGCCCTGCAGCTGCAGCAGCAGCAGCAGCAGCAGCAGCAGCAGCATTTTCCAGCGTGCCATGTTCCCACTGCACTGACGACTGTCTGTGCAGTTCGCCCAGAGTCCGTGCTCTCCCTCCTCCTGGCAGCCCTGTCCTTTCCCTTATCCAAACCCGCTCCAGCGGGGGCTGCAGCCGCCGCCTGCCTGTCTGCCGCAGCTCCCCTCCCTGCGCCATGTGCCACCGCGTCCTTCCCTGCGCGCCGTGCTGCTCGCTAAGGACACGCTGTGGCACAGCTGTCTGCCTCCTCTGCTGCAGTCAGGCAGGTTTGTATTACTGTGCGCGCTGCTGATGTCGAGCTCCTGTCGTGACCCAGCACCCCATAGGAGGAGCAAATGAGCTGAGACGTCAACGCAAAAAATTATAGCCATGCGAGCAATCCCTCTGCTCAGCTGCTTGGAGAGTGCCTACATGGTTTGTGTGACAGCACCAGCACACAGAAGCAGCACTGAAATGCAGTTAGCAATACAGCTGGGAGACAGGCAGCCAGGCAGGCACTGGTCCAGTGACTAAAATGATCGTACCGTGAGCCAGCCTGCAGTGCCTCCAAAAGTGGCTGACTGCTACACAGAGGCTCGGCTTGCTTTGCCATTACTCCAGTTTCCCCCCGGTGACTGCAGTGTGCGCTCCGTTTCGGTTTTGTTTGCCTTTTTGTTTCTCCCTCCCACCCACCGGTCTCCCTCTCTCTCCTCCCGTGTCCTTCTCTCCAGGATGGCGGAAGCAGAGTTGCACAAGGAAAGGCTCCAAGCCATAGCAGTAAGTCAGTTTCCTTTTACTTGCTCTTTTGTCCTTAGGCGTGGGTTGTTGGAGGGACGGGGGGATTCCAGCACAGTGGCTGGGAAGCACAGGGAGAGCCTGGCTTGTGCAAAGTTCTGTGTGGAATTCCCTGTTCGGGAAATGAGTGGTTAAAGTCTGCTTTGCGGGATTTGGCGGAGAAAGAGGGCTCTGAGGAAGAGCGTTGAGCTGACACGTGCAGAAAGAAAAATGTGAATGCACAGTGGCATGCTTAAAAGATTGATGATAGAGAAGAAAAGAAGGAATAAATGGGGAGGAGAGGAGATTGCAAGAGAAAATCAGTACTCTGCTGAATGTATATTTTTTCACAGTTGGAGGTTTTGCTTAGCTGATGAAGTCAAGCAAAAATGATCTGCTGCAGGATGGCTTTTAGTGCAGAAAATAATTGTGATATTGCTAGTTTTAAGACAATTGAACACAGACACTGCATTGTCAAAATTGTGTAATTGTTTTATCTGCTAGTTAAACTGTCATCTCAGCTCCATAGCTGAGTACATGATCTCAGAAAAATTTCCTGCTGAGCTGCATTACACCACGAGTAAAATATAGGCAGGATTGAGTCCCATATTATAACTTTTGTTTTTACATTTAGTAGAGTATTTGAATTGAGCCATGAGCTCAGCTGGTGCAGACCTTGGAGGAACGTGTCTAGTGACACCAGATGAGGAAGGGGCCTGGCTGTTTAGGATCCACCATCATCCTGGCATATAGAAACTGCCGGCTCATCTTCTAGCATGTCACAGGCATCGTGTCAAAAGGCCTGTGTTTCTGTGGGCACTGCCAGTCGGACAGCCCCATACAGCCTGCCCTTGTTCAAGTGACACCCAGCTCTTCTTCTTCCCCATGGCTGAGATGTTGATGCAGCTGTGCCAGTCCCAGACGGATGGCACAGCCCGTGCCGGGGACCGCACACCTGGAGATCTGAAGGGAAACAGAAGACAGCAGAGCCCACATGGATTTTAGTTCTCTTCCCCAGTTCCTCCAGTGATCAACAGATGCTACATTTTTCTGTAGCTGGTACAGGTTACAGATTTCTTTTGTAGTGTAACAGGAATGGCTGCTGCTGCTTCTGCTGCTGCTGCTTCTGCTGCTGCTGCTGTTCCAAGATATTTTTCTTAAGTCCTATACTCTGCTGATAGGTCAATGGAAATTTAAAAAAACCAGATTTAAAATAAATAGATTAGGGATTTTTCTCTCTAAAATATTAACTATAGAAGAGCAAATGATATTATTTGTTGGGTGGGGGAAGCTATAACCATTTAATTTTCAGGCAGTGGAAAGCAGATGCATATTTTTAAGCTGGTTCTCAGTTTTATATCAACATAGGCATTGCCATATCTCAAGTGGAAACACCAGGAATGTTCCCCCAGAGGCAAACCTCACCATGGCCAGTGATTTGGGACTCCTCTATGGCAGAACTGTACTGCAAAGCTGCATAGCTCTGTGCTATACTGCAGTGCATAGCTCTGAAACACTTATGTCTCCACATTAAGGAAAAAAAAGTTTACATTATTGTTGTTTCTTCCAACTGCTATGTAACAGAATACCAGACAACAGTCATTTCCACATGATGTCCTGAAACCTGCCACCAAAGTAGATCAAGTCCTCTGCTTCTTAGTGCCCTGCATCTCACACCAATGAGGCCATTATGGATTTAATATTACCACCTGGTGTATGGCAGCTTTTACAGTCGGTTTATGCTAATAGAAGGCATTATAGAAAGCATAATAGAAGGCCTTGAGAGTCTGGACCTCCAGACTGAACAAGTCTGGACCTTTCTATACATATTTCCTCTTTGGTTTCTATTTCTGGTAATTCATAAAACATCGTAGGCAATGTATGCAGTTAATTAGATTGAAAGAATTTTACTTCAGCATAAAAAATATTCAGCCTTATTTTAAGTGTTTGTGTGGGTCCATGAACCAATTTGTTTGCTTAGCACTCTGCAGAGCAACAGGTTTTTCATATAAGCTTGTTAGTTGTTTTTTCTCCTATGCTTGGTCTGCTGCAGATGTTTGTCAGAATGCAGAGAAGTTAATTTCTAGCTTTGCTCCATCAGAATAAGTGACATGACACAAGTTAGGTGTTTCCTGCCTGCCAGTGGTTGGCTAAAATAAGGTCAGTTCTCACATGCTGTATGGTCTTTCTCAGAAGAAGAAATAAATGGCATTTCAGTTTAGCTTGGTGCTTTATCTGTTTGAACCTGCTGCAGTATCTCTCTGAGATGAGCAGAAGCTTACTCCAGCGTTCTGCAATCACACTGGTTGAATGCTAGACTTACAGAAAGAAATCCAGTCACCACTGGGTTCTCTACACACCTGCTCTCTGTACATTTACTTCTATCACCATGGTAAATGAGTTTGCTGGGAAATTTGCCGAGTGAATTCTAAGTGTGCATCACTGAATATGTAAAGAAAACAAATCCAAAACCAGAAATATGAACTTTAACACCAGGAAGCTGACTGGTTTTGAAGCATTTGATTTTATACTTTGTTACCTTGACTTATCATAGTTTTAATATATGCTTCTCTGGCACAGAGCAAAGTGTCATAGGAAGAGGAAAAGAAGGAATCTACTGTTAGGACATTATTCTAAATCTCAGTGAACGTGAGTTAGCCGCTTGTTTTGTCTGCAGCAAATATGTAGCCTTTCTGTGCATCCATGTTCTATCTGTAAACTGTGAATAATAGACTTTGCCTCATCTTAGAGCAGTGTTAAGGATGCATGCAAGATTGACCTGTACTTGGATGCTATGGTTTATCAGGGCAAGAAATATCTAAACACATCTTTAAAATAGAATTTGTGATTCTAAAACCAGAGAAGCTTCAAATGTGCATGTTTTAATGTCATTGAAATGCTTAGGCTGTGACTTTCAGGTCTTTCAGAAGTCCCTAAAATTCACACACTGACTATAGCAAGACTCAGAGCACTGTGCAAATCTGGTTTGAGAAGTAGGAAGATGTGAGACAGCTAGTAAAAAGTGGAACCCAGTTCTGCCTGCTTGGGAGAAAAACAGAAGCTCTGTGCACTGGAGAGGTTCTGTGATGACTAGGAGCAATTGGTTTTCTGATCCTTACTCAAGCAGAGGCCACATCACATCTTCCAACTTGGATGTGATGTGATGTCTGTAGCACACAGTATGTGTGCTACAGACAGATACTGGTAAAGTTTTCTGCCATGACACACTGCTCTTAACATCTGCCTGAGCCTGAATCACCACAGCATCCCTCTGCTGCCCTACCAGCAAGGGAGCTGAGTGGTGCCCACTCTTAATACTGTAGCAAGATGTCTTCAGCAGGCACACAAGAGGTTAAAAGAGGAAGCCATCTTCTCTCTGGGCTTGTTCCTGTATAGAGCACTTTGGTGTTTGTGTCTGCTTGTTTTCTGAAGGGGATTGGTGGCTAAAATTTTGGGTGAAAAAGGAAGCATTTTTGTGGCTTTTAAAAATATGCTGGCTGCAAGTTGCTCAGAAGTTGGGAATGTACATAGTCCCAGACTCAGTGGCCTGGGGACAGGTGAGCTGACTTAATTTATCTTATTTTGGATAAATAACATGTATGGTCCCAAAATTTGTTATAGGGCCCCTCTTCTATAACTGTAGAGAACTCCAGATGATAAATATAATCTAAATGCTTTGTCTAAATATAGACAAGCATTTACAAAATCTAAGTATTTTCTGTCCCTTACCTAGCAATCACAAAGCTGGGAAATGGGGTTTTGGGTATTGATTGGTGCATCTGGTTTATGAATTCACATATGATACAGTGAACATGTGTTATCCATACATCAGGTGAACTAAATACAATCATTGAGGAGCAGCAATGAGGCAAAATTGTCAACAAAAGCAACAACCAGTGCAGGAGTTGGAGGAGGTTTCCTGGTTCAAGAGATGTCCAGCATACAGATTCAAGTGGGGAACTACTATACTGATTCCTTAGTAGACATAAACAACAGCAATGATGGTCTCTTACTTACAAGTGCCCAGCTCAGAGAAGCAGTGACTCAATTAAAGTATCACTGACATTCAATTAGCCACACCAAAGATACCGCCTGTCAGGAAAGACCATTCCAGCTTTTTCTATGAGATGATGAATTTGTTGAGCTGAATCCAACGTTACTTAGATGTCATCAGGGGGTTGAACTACTATGGCAGGACAGTGGTGTTTAAAAATAGCCCCCTCCTGTATCAGCAAGGTCTGCCTTACATGGATTAAGGACTAGCTTTCTGACAGGTCTCAAAAAGTTGCTATTTGTGAGGGAGACTGCTGTTCCTTGAGAGCAGAGGCAGGGAAGAATTCACAGGAAGCAGTCTTTCAATATTTGAAGGCATTCCCTAGTTGTAATTTGATGTAAATGGAAATTGCTGATGTGCAGGTAACAAGTGGCAGAGGAGTTGGATATACTACATGAAGACAGCAAGTTGATTATTTGGTAAACTGGATCTTCCATTTGGAGAAATACATCACACGTGTGTACAGCTGGCATTAACAGAGGCCAGTATGGGTTTGTACATCCAGATTTAAGGTAGTATGGGGCTCACACCACAGAAGAGGGCTCTGTAGTCTGAGCAACACTGCCTTTGACAAGGAACAAGAAATAGTGTGGGAGGTAATTCAACAGGGACAAGGAGAGGGATCCAGGTCCTGCACAGGAGATTGGTTTCATACCAGTTAAACCTACATCAGGTGAGATTTTAGGGTCCTCCCAAACGGGAGCTATGTGCATTCACATTTACGTGAAGCACTGCACTGATTTTTCAATAGGTGTTTGAGAATACTAATACAATAGCCGTTACTCCACAAAATGAAAACCCGTGACTAGTACATCATATCCAGGATCATTTTACTATAACACTGCTCCACAATTTTTGTGAGTCCTTCCAGAGATCATTGTCATGAATATTAGAATGTGAAAAATTAGGTATTGAGAATCACCTAGAAAGATGTGGCAAATTGACTTAA